TATCATTATTATTATTATTATTAATATTATTCAATAATCGACTCACCTGTGCAACCAATGCTTCAACCGATCGTAAAGTGGTTCTCTGGTCGGCATTTTCAGCTTGAACGAATTGTAGTTTCTCTTTTAAATGGGTTAACACTTGAACAGTGGTTGTGATCTTTTTTCTTAGTTTAAGTAACTCCTGCAAGCAAGATAAATACTTTCAGCACTTCAGCACAAAATACCCTATTAAAGGGATACTTGAATTCATTATTCGATTCGAACATTCATTATTGAAAACAAATCTTCAATATTCAAAAGATAATAAAAGTTTGAACATATGATTAACTAGGCTCACAGGCTCTTGTTTATAGCGCCAACAGAAGGTAAGTCATTAATATTACATATTCCTTGCACAAAACGTTGCTCTTTCATTTCAGCTGCATATATGCTTGGCTTATGTATATGCTAGGCTTTGAATAGGTAGGCATGCAGGCCATTGGAAGGGTTCTTTTTTTGACTTTACCTCGTTTCTTTCCTCTATTTTCTCATTGTAGGTCTGGTTTTCGATTTTGAGTTGTTCAAAGTCGATCAAGTGCAGTCCTTCAGCCAGTTCTTCCTATGAAGAATGATAAAACCAGTATTATAAGTTAGCACACATTCGTACGTATCAAAAGAACATTTATTGAGGAACCCGTCATTATTCATCGCAGTGGAGGGGCGGAGGATTTGGGGTGGATAACATGTTTTTGAGACAAAGCTATTTATTGAAAGCTATCAGAAAGGGCGGATCCAGCCAAAATTTTAGGGGGGGGCTAATTGAGTTTCTCTTGTCAACACAACGGAAAACAATAAAAAATGCATATAATTCTTCAGTTTCGTTTTTTTTTTCTGCTGGAGGGGGGGGCTTCAGCCCCCCTTTGCTCCCCCCCCTGCATCCGCCCTTGATCAGGGGGAGGCGAGGAAATTGGGGGATCGCAAACAGGTGAGCTAGCAATCACTATTGAGGGTGTATTATGAGACAATATGTAGTATGATTTATATAACACCCTTTCTAATTGTATACTCAAAGGCACTAACCATGCAAGCACGAGAAGTAGTTATTATGAGGGGTAAGCACTGAGGTTGGTCACTGCCAGGGTTTCCTTAACCGCGCCCTCAGTGGCTCTTTTACGCGGGGATTAAACACGTGACTTCTGTTCAACAGACCGATGCTCAACCAACTCAGACAAGCGGGAATAGGTTTTTCCCCCTTTTCTATTGTTTTCATTTTTTTTACATTTAGTACAATGTACAATGCGTTTACACACATGGATACTAGAGCTTTAGAAATAACTCTTGATAATGATAATGATTTATGATTCATATAGCGCCCTTTCTATATGGATATAATCAAAGGCGCTTTACATTGAGTTGTGAATAACATTGCTTTTATGCAATTTACAATCATGAGGGATGGTTAGTATAATGTGTAGGCACTGAGGGTGGTCACTGCCAGGGTTTCTTTACGTCCTCAATGGTTCTTTTACCCCCCGGGGGAAGGGTACTCTTACGTCCCTCCGATGTTTTTTTCGAAGTTTTAAGTTGAGCGAGGTCTTACCTTTGCTTTAAGCTGTATCTCTCGCTTCTTTAGTCTGTTCCGTAGTTTGATGTTTTCTAAACGAACCTTGAATATAAGTAAAGGAAGGTTAGGAATGAATGGAGAGAAGGATGTGGGACAGACTCAAGGGCGGATCCAGCCAAAATTTTAGGGGGAGGGGGGAGGGGCTAATTCAGTTTCTTCTGTCAACACAACGGAAAACAATAAAAAAAAAGCATCTAATTCTTCAGTTTTGTTTGGTTTTGTTTGTTTGTTTGTTTTTTTTTTGCTGAAGGGGGGCTTCAGTCCACCTTTGTCCCCCCTGGATCCGCCCTTGAAACTAACAAAAACGAGAAAACGGACGGCGGTCGGACAAGAACGATAGATAACCGACTGGACGAACGAACGGACGCTCAGACGCAAGAAAAAAGGCCCCACCGAGCAAACGAAAGAACAAACACCCGACGAATAGTCGGATGAAAAAACAAATAGAAGACCGGCCGAATGGATGGATGAACGACCCATCGAACTACGGTTGGATTGACCGACGACGACCGAATAACCAAAGTAATGAAGCAAGCGTCTTCATTCACTTGATTTCCCTTACCTGCGTCACCTCCTGTTCTTTCTTGTTTTCGAGCATCTCGTACTGTTCAATGTCCTAAGAAAAATTCGTTTAAAATAGATTGATAACTCATTAATGATAATAATAATATAACACGGGACCTAATAGGATGACTTGCCAACTAATTTTTATATATTTAATTTTAATTTTAATTTATTTAGAAAACCGATGAGAATGTTAAGCTAGAGTGATGTAGAAGTATTTTCCTTACCTTAGGAGGGATTGGCTTGCCAGATCTGCTGTTGATGGCATCTTTTGCTATATCCAACTTGAATTTTGTAAACTGCGCACTGGGCATTATCAATGAAACTATTTTACAATAGTGTAGCATAGAATGATTCCTACATTCAACTCGTGGGATTATCAAAGGCCTTCTCAATATAGCACGAGCGGAGTCGTCGTTCAGACAACGTAGATTTTGGTGGACGTCAATCAAGGCGTTCCCATGACGTTCCATAGGCACGTGCCCTTAAAAGCTTTGTGTTTTCCAAAGTGCCCATGTCATAAAAAACATTTTGATCAACGTCCACCAAAATCCTATTTTGTAGCGAAGGCACAGGGTCCTGACGGGGTAAAATATGATCTGGGATTCGACTTTTTTTGGGCTGGGAAAATGAGAATTAATGCACTGGGAATGGGATAAATAAAAACAATCAAAAATGGGAATGGGATTGAGATTTTAGCAAATCATAGACTGGTTCTATGGGATTTGGTCAAGATAGGGACTGGGAAATAGGATGAGAACATAAAATTAAATAGTCCCCTTCACAGTTCCCTGCGCCATTTTCAAAGGTAGCAATGCCGTTGCATCGAAGCGAGATGAAAGGTGAGCTTCCAATGATACAGACCTTTTTTTAACACCTTGGACAATAATTATTCACATGTCTCTATCATTGTAAGCTCACCTTTCATCTTGATTTGATGCAACGGCATTGCTAACTTTGAAGATGGCGCAAGAACTGTTATTTAAATTATGGAATAAGTAAAACGCATCAATTTGTTTAATACCTGGCTTGTTCTACTGTTTCTTCTCGTTCATGACATTTTGCCTTCAAATCTTCTATTTGCAGTTTATAGCTTTGTCTTTCATGTTTCTCTTCATTCTGAAGTTCCTCTAGATTCGCTGATAGAATTGAAAATACAAAGCTTAGTAAACAGGCGTAGCATGTTGGACCATTTTTTATAGTCATATGCAATCTGTTCTTTATCTAACTTTGTAGCAGTCTGAATAGGAAAACTTACACATGTATTTGAGGTATCTCTGTTCTTGATCTGTTACACTTTTTTCTATTTCTTGTTGTCTTTCATCACTCTGTAGGTATGTTGTATTATAACAGTGAATGATAATGGGCAGAGGAAATCTGGTAACAAAATGTACGAAGGGGGAAAGGATGGGATGAAGTAAAGGATGGACGGACTGATGGATGGATGGATGGATGGATGGATGGATGGATGGATGGA